GGGGGGGGGGGGGGGGGGGTGGGTGGGGGGGTGGGCGAATCACACACAATGTTTATAGTGGTTGACTAACTCGGGCGCTCGGCTAATCCAGTCTCAAGGGAGTCTCTTGTTCCTAGGAACTATTATTGAAGATGTTGAGATTACATAATATTCTTGACATTATTTATGTTGCTTGCCTCGAAGTGAGGACATTGTATAGTATTTATAGCCTAGTCCCTAATTCTAAGGGGTCTGTGGCCAGATATTTGCCTTCCTCTCGTAATATCCCACTTTGATTCCAGGCGATGGTTTAGGCGGTTGAGAATCTTGCGCCTAGACGGGCGCTCACTGCCGTTTAGGGGGCGCGTCTTGACTTCAACTCCCGAGTTCAAGCTTGGAATTTCTTCTAAGTATCATAAATACTCATTTTTTGGATGTTTTAGCGTTCTTGCTCAAGTTTGTTTGTAGTTTTTATTGATTTGTTACTGTGAAATTATTGTATTGTTTTGTTCGGTTAATGTTTTTATTCAAGTTTTTACATGTTTCTATGATATTATTTATGTTGTTGTTTTGTTTGTTGTTTTTAGAAATTTCAATGTGAAAACTAGCATCCGAAGGAGAATGGAGACATACGCTTGAAAAGCAATATAGGGTAACTAGAGAAATGAAGTAAACAAAACATGGTGTTTTGCTAAAAAAAGAAAATCAGAAATCTACCTACTCAAATGTATGACAACATACTGAAACTCTGCTTACATGACTTCATTAACCCAAGAGCTTGGAACAGCAAATATCTAATTTCACTGGATCTGTGAATTCTTCCTATCAAACCCTATCTCTAATATATGAAGTCTATGAGTTGATGACCCTGCAGTTCTTCCGAATCTGTCCACTTGATCCAGTTAACGGACTTATGTTACCCATCTTGATCATGGAATTAACAAAGTCATCGAAGAAAAGCTTCGAATCATCACTATAGCGTTGCACAAAACTCTTAGTCGTCGATAAAGCCTCATCACTGGAAAATAGAATTTGGTCAGATGAGAGAAGACCCTTTCCATTGAGCAAGTTCTTGAAGTAATGGTTGTCAAATAGGTCTATGGAGTTCCGGTCGAGAGGCGCCGTCTTGTTTCCATCATCGGTCGGGGGGCAGAGCTTCTGCAGATCAGAAAACATGTTGGTCTCCATTGTACTGTCTGGAACACCTTTTCCTGAAAAGTTGAACAACCTGTTGCTGAAGAGAGCACACCTTGCTTGTCCAATTGTATGAGCACCTGCACATGACATGCTCCAATACAATCATAATGAGAATCACTATAGTGTATCACATAGCTATACAAACATGATAAACCCACCTTTGTGCAGTCTTGCTGGTCTCTTAGCCATAACTTTAGGTACAATATAGGGTAACAATCCATAAAATATGTTGACCTTCGGAGTAACTCAAGATAATTTGGGGCTTAAAACGATACATTTAAGTAAGACTTTCCATATTTAATATTAATATTTTTTATTTTAAATTATTTTTTCTTACTTTTTGAGTTACAAAAGTACTAATTAAATTTTTATATTCAAGTTTTACAACCATATATTTTTCAATTGATAGTATCACTAATTTACTTAATTTTTTTTGTAACATAGTCGACCTTAACTAAGATTTTATCAATTTTAATTTTAAAAGTTTCTTTCTACGGAAGCAACTGTTATAGAAATTGTTAATAATATTCTTTAAGCAATATATGCATTTGGAAAATAATATTACTTTCTTATATAATTTAGTGTATCAATTAGAGTGTTTTATTTCGTTTGTAAAATTTCATTAAAAATATTTAGTTATAATCTAAGCCATCAATGTCAGAAAAAATTTTATGTTTTAAGAAACATTCGAGATCCAAACAATATTATTTGAAACTATCATCGGCCAATAATTTTTATTTTTCTAAGTTAAATAAAAAATCAAAAATATTTTCATATTTTTGTAATTGTTCAAATCTACTCTTTAGTAAAGAAATAGTTTAATAAATTATATATGTAAAATAATCAATTCTAAAAAATTCTTCAATAGTTTGTGTTATCTCATCATTAACATTTTCATCAAATTGATTCTTTCTATGAACTCTACGTTTTATATTACTATAATCATTTATTTCATTAAGATTTTGATTGTCTTCTATTTCATTATCTTTTATTTTACTATTTTCTATTTCAATATTTTGTATTTCACTATCTTCTATTTTATTATCTTTTATTTCAATATTTTTTATTTTATTCTCTTTTATTTCATTATCTACTTGTTTATTTTCAAAATTTTTATCTAAATTTTTTGTTACTTTATTTTTGTTACTAGTAACAAATTTATCAGAAGATCCTTTTTGAAATTGTATTAGTTGGTCCATTTTTATTTTTATTTTATTTTAATTTTTAATATCCATTTGGTTGTCATCGAAGTGTCATATTATTAATATATTATAACTATATAACAACCAAACAAATACAAATAAACACAAACAAACACAATATATAGTATAGTTAAACTATATAACATAACCTTGAATTTAAGATAATTTTTTTTTGGAAAGTAAAAAGAAAACAAAGAATAAAAAAAAATTAAAATTATGAAACAATTGAACCTTAAATAGTATCAGACGTTGGCTTTTAGTTCTGAACCACGTCCCTTAAGTTGCAATTGAGTTCAGTTTTTTTTTACTATTAATTTTTTTTTAGATATTTAATATTTGAATTGGACTATGAGCTTAAATGATTGATTGGGCTTATATTTTTATAAGGTTTTTTTTATATGGACTATTTATGGTATTTAAATATTTGGGGTCTTCCTTAAAAATGAGGCCTAAAGTCTAAACTTTTCTAAGTATGCTGTTGGGCCGGCCTTCCTGACGTTTAATCATAAACTATTTGCACTTTGATCATTATTTTTTTAAATTTTTTTATCAATCTAGATCCTAAAATTTTCTTATTTCAACCAAATTGATCTAACGACAATTTAAATTGACTAACGGAAGTAGTCACGTCACGTGCATCTGACGTGAAAATGCTTATAGGGTACCCCCAAAATTTTTGATATTTTTGAAAGTAAAAGTGAAATGTGATCACGCTAATTTAACTCAAACTAAAGACTTGATGGTATAAAGTCACAGAGCAGAGCACAATACAAAGTTCCCAAACGCAACTAAGTACCTGATAAGGCGACGACATCTGTGAGGTTGAGGCCAACGGCGACGAACTTGGCAGTGATATTACTGATAGGCTCAAAAGGAGAAGGAAGCCCATTATTAGCTCCTGTTTGGTTTGCAACAAGCCCATCCCTTCTTCCTAGTACCACTGTCCAAGAAGGTCCTCCACTCTGCAAAACACTGCCTCTTAGTTTCTTTTGGCCACTCGTAATATTAGCATGTTCAATAGATAGAATTTGGATTCCAATCTTAAACTAATTAGTCCGATATAAATTAATATTTTTTACCCATCTACAGTTAAATCCGTTATACGCTCAACATCCACACATTGATTGATAAATGAGAGCATGCATATACACACCACACACACTGCAATGCAAACTTACTAAAACCACTGAATCACGGGCAGCAACCGCTAGTATGTCGGCACATGATACTATGCCGCTACATGCGCTCTCCACGGCAGTTTTTATATTGTCAACAACTTCGAATCCTCTTGCCGAGTTCACGTTAGGGAAGGCAAACTTTTCGCCATCGTTTCCATCCAACAAAATGGATGCCTCACAACCCTGACAAGAAGATAACATAAAATGTGATGAATAATAGTCATTATACTGTTTGAAGACCCACTCATGACATATATTCAACAGAATGTGGTGTTTGAATAATCAAGCACTCGAAGGTGTCTTTGCAGTCAAAGAAAAGCTAGCCCCCTTACAAAAAGGGCATCAACTTCTTTAATGAAGGCTTTGAAGGTATTTTCCCTAGAATCCAGCAGTTTCTCTATGGTAATCACCTTCATTCTGAAAAAAATCTACCTTTTCATAAAAATCAAACCTCAATAATTATGGAATTTACTACAAATTATGTACATCGACTAAACTCAAGTTTTATACTATCGGGAGTTTTGTGCACCGGACATGTGTAGGTTTACACATCGCTCTTTGTTCAATCATGGAACGAAAACTAACAGTTTATCATCGAACACTACAATTGCTAATGAAGTGCTATTACTGCTGTACTGCTTAACTCACGTTGACAAAGCAGTCATGGAAGTGAAGCCGAATCAAAGAAGCGGCAATTCTCATCTCAAACTTAATTGCATTTTGGACCTCTCTTCGTACGATTCTGAGAAGATTTGGGCATGTGGACAAGTAGAAATCAGTAGTTAGCTGGGAACTGGCAATCAAACAGAACATGGATAAAGTCACAAGCCAAGAATAGCCAGTGAAGTAGTTTGTCATCTTCATGATGATCACTGAAAAACCCTAAAACTTCTAATTTTTTTGAGGGCTATAGTTTTGGTGCATGACAAAAGCTTCAAAGCTTAATTTATAACCTAAAGAATGGGTTAATTTCAGTTTATAAAATGTATTATTTTGTGTAATGTGCTCTAAAGCCAAGTGCTGTGACGTATGGCGGCTGCATACTGAAGTTTGCTGGCAATCAAAAAAATGCACTAAGCTAGACGTTTGCCGAAAGTGGACAGATTAGTGGTTTTTATATTACCTATATTATAAAAATCTAGTACAATTGATGCACATAGTTTTTGAGTGATTACATATATCTATGATTTGTATTGCAGCCATAAATTCAAAGTGCGTGTGGTTGAGACGATTTATACCCATGTGCTAGATGGTTAAAGAGATTAGTGACTCGATGGTTATCAGATTACATAAAATATAAGCTTCCAAAAAGCACTCAAATGCAATAGTGCTTACAGTGCTGAAGCATTATCAAATGTTTTGTGTTCCNTGGATGGTTAAAGAGATTAGTGACTCGATGGTTATCAGATTACATAAAATATAAGCTTCCAAAAAACACTCAAATGCAATAGTGCTTACAGTGCTGAAGCATTATCAAATGTTTTGTGTTCCACTTTAGCGCACGATTAGGTTGTGCATAAGTTGTTTTTAATGTTTCTAATATAAAAGTCAACAGCATTAACAGTTTAAAAACTAGAAAAATATTAATATATTCCTTGGTGTTATGCCAGTGTTCTTGCATTATGTTCAGAAGGGTTTGACACTGATGAATCTTGTTCATCGCTCTTCTTTACTTTTTTTCTTTTCTTTAGGGGAAAATTAAAGAAAAAATTAATGAGCATCGTGTGCAAGACACTCAGATACCAATGCAAAATACAAGTGGAATAGGTTTTCTTAATGCTCGTCAAGTGTTGGCTAACCTTTTGGTTCTGATGTGGACATGCATGTTTGTGCAACATGGAGAAGAAGATAACCATCATGAGATGGAATTGTTGGAATTACTCCAATATCATTACAACAAAAAAATCACTCTTACCATCTTGTTAGAGTAAAGAGGAATAGAAATAAAATGGAAGGAAGTGGAGGAGAATATGACAGGGCTAGTCCAACAGTATAGAAAAAAAACCATGTTTTAGGCTCCATAATCTTAAGTACATCACTAGCTCACCAAAAAAAATTAAATCTATTAAATTTTAAGCCTTACAAAAAGACTCTAAAAAATTAAATTCAATCAAAATTTTTATTTTAATAATTTGGGCCTATAATTCAATCACACCACGAACTAGCACTGTAATTGATTATCACTACAAGGAAGCTTTTTTTGTGACACTTTTGCGAGAACATTCATTGTGTCATAATAAGTAATGACTCAAAAAATATTGCGATGACAAATCCTCATCACAAATATTTTTACGACGACATTACTTATCTCTTACACTCCCCCATCTAAGCGATATAATTTTCCTGATGAACCCAAGTGTAAGCTTGGAGTTCACTATTATGGATTTCTTCATCACCCATGTGTAAGCTTCTACTCTTTGATGCAAATATTTTTTTTTTAAACAAATCAATACTTTATTTTATTAAGCAAAAATTATTTACAATGAAATAAAAGGCAAACAAACCCTGTCTTAACAAGACTTTAACCCAAAATTAATAAAAGAAGCCAAGAGACTTCACAAAAGAATCAAANGGAATAAAAGGCAAACAAACCCTGTCTTAACAAGACTTTAACCCAAAATTAATAAAAGAAGCCAAGAGACTTCACAAAAGAATCAAAAAATAAGTCCCTCGTAACAGGCAGCCTGCTCATTGAACCAGCAACATCAATATGCTCCCCTATTTTGCAAAAAAAGGCAACCTTACCCTTTATCATCAGAAACTAGCACCTTCTTCAATCGAAGAACAGGCAAATGCCTTGAATCATGCAATACAGTCATACCCACGACAGAAGGCAAAACCAGATTTTCAAAAAAAATCAACAGAGCACCTGTCATGCACTACTTGATTTGCCAAACTATCAACAACCATATTGGCTTCTCTATACAGATGCCTCAACTCAAACTCAACCATCCCCAAAAGCTCCTTCACTGTCTCAAAACATTCATTGAAGCCCATGAACATCCACACTTCCCGTTCACAGAATTGACCAGCACTAAAGAATCAAATTCCACCAAAACTTTATAAGCAAATAATCCATATTGCTTAACCAAATTTAGCCCATCCAGCAGGGCTTTGAACTCAGCAATCATATTTGAGCATTCCCCATAAAAGAAGGAAGCAACTAACACAACCTTCCCCCATTCATTTCCTAAAACAACACCCCCTCCTGCAACTTCTGGATTACCCTTGGACGCCCCATCTATATTAAGCTTAAGCACTCCAGAAGGAGGACAAGCCCAACTAACCCAGACACACCTTCTTTCCACATGATAAGCAGGCATAATCCTGAACTCCAGCAAAATAGCACTTCCTATTACAAAATCCTCCACCTTTGCTCTAATATTCTTCACTTGGTTCACTATCAAATTCAAAGAGCTTATGCACATATTTGTTCACTCTCATTAATTTGGCATCTACCAATCGTGTGCCTATAAGTGAATATACTACTACTGTCAATAAAAAATTCATTTTATTGGTTGGAATCAAGAGCGCACCAAAAAATTAAAAATACCTCTAAACAACACAAACCGATTGTCTTGCTTTGATAGAATGTGATCTTCCTCCGCTTTGATGATTTGATCATTGAAGCAAAAAAAAAAAATCTGAAACCAAACATCAGATTTCATTAACGATCGATGAGAGAGAGGAAAGCTCCAACATCGTTAATGGAACTCTATGGTGTTATCGAAATGATAGAAGAAAGTATGGTCGGAGGTAGTCGGCAGTCAATGATGGCAACATGTCAACACAATACAAGAGCATGGGGAGAGATCAAGAGATATCGAGGGAGAAGGTAAGTGTTTTAATTAAAAAAAGTTTATTGGAAGTAAAAGCTAATCTTATTTAAGCACTAAAAATACTTTTACTTATTAAAAAGTGTTTTTAAAAAATTGATCCAAACACTACTTTTTTTTATAAGTATTTATGATAAGTCAAAATATTTTTTAAAAAAAACACTTTTTTTAAGCTATCCCAAACACACTCTTAAACCATTCCAAAAAATTAATTTCTCAATAATATTAAAATTTGATAATCGTGTGGACTTTAATTTTTTTTTTTTTGTGAACTTCCATGTTAATGTACGATTGACTTGAAATCTACTATGAGAAAATTATTGTCTTTGTTTATTCATATTTTTTTAATTGTTGCATTGATATATTTTTTTTAATTTTTATATGGTAATTAAGTCTTGAATTTTATATTTCTCAAACTTGCACTTAAGAATTTTCTAATAAAAATATAAAACTCAATTTAGTCTTTAATAATCAAAGTCCGTGAAATTTTTTATATCAATTGATTAATTTTCTCATTCATATTTTTGCCCCTCTAATATAGACACCTGATTTTGCCCTTGATTCTAACTATATTGATAGATCCGTATGTCAAATAAGATTTACATTTCTCTCCTTGTCTCACCATCTGCACCCCCCACCTCTTTCCCCCAACCTGATTATTTTGTCTAATTGTGTCAGAGAGAGAAGGGAAGATGGAGATGAGAAGTTAAAAGAGAAGAGAGGGTGAGAAGCTAACTTGATTGAACAAAACAACATATTTTTGTAAAATGAGTCAAAATTTATAAAAATAAAGTTGTCATGCCCCGAATTTCATAAAACAGCCTCAATGAAAGAAAAACCATTTGATCAAAAAAAAATCCCGAATTACGAATATATTTGAGGAAAATACACATTTTCTATTACAAAATACATTTTTAAAGGAAATATCAAGGGGAATTTAAATTTAGAAATATTCAGTTTATAACCAAATAAAACGAGCAATCTGCGAGAGCATTCTAATAAAAATATCAACTACCCAAAAAACAACATCATCACCATTCAAATTAAAACCCAAAACATAAATTTATCATCCAAGGTGCACATCCAAATCACCAAATTAAACATCATTGTCTAATGAAATTGGTTCGGCTCTAAGATTTCGTAAGCTCATTCTAACATCGAGAAATAATGACATCAAAACTAAATTCACAATCTTTGGACCTCAATTTTCGACTCGACATTCTAATTTTTTTCAATTTCCATTTCTGCATCCTTACCTACATCTGTCTCAGTTTCCACGCTCAAATCTGAAAAAAGTTAGTAAGGAATGAGAACAAGTAGATTATTAGAGAAATATTTCCCAAGCATAAACAAAGTTTGCAAAATTTATAAGAACAGAACAAGTCACAGTTCCAAAATAAATATACAACTTTTGAAGTGAAATATGAGGTTAACAACGATCTCATTTATTTTATGCAATGTTTGGAATACTCAAACAAAAAACCAAGAAGATAATTAGTTTGATTAACAAGAATATCACACACCCAAATACATAGGGATTTAGGAAGAACCGATTTTGAGAGTCAGCATCTAACCAATTCTCCTGAGGAGTTGTAGGAACCCTCAAGGAACCAAACTTGTGTACTTACTCTCTGTCTCGATCCACATGAATGAATACTGGAACCCACAAGGAATCAAACACATCTATTATGAGTGGTAGGTATTAGACCAAAACAGCTTTCTGAATGTAAAAATTAAATTTTTAGTCGATTTTGAGTCTAAATTAAAGTAGGACTCGTTTATTGTTTCGAATAAACTTTAATGGGTTCATATTCTACTCCATGAGAAGAATAACGTAGTATATTCGCTTGCTCAAATTGAGTAAGAAATGAATGAGAAAATAGGCTTCAAAACAACTCTCTTGAAATGTAAAAATATGGGTTGTACCAATGTGGGGTCGACACCAATTCCACATTAGTTGAGGAACGAGTTCTAAATGGGCATATATAGGTCAAGTTTGCTATATGGAATTGGGCTCCAAGGGATACC